TGAATAGCGTTTAAAATAAAATCACAGGAAATTAAAAACGAGTGCGTTGAAGTAAAGAGCATAAGGAAGGAGCACACCGAATTTTATCCTGGTTCACCACAACTTGTGGCTAATCCAGCCCCCCGAGAGACTCTCTCGAGCTACACTAACTCCGTTAAGCTTAAGGGTGCTTAACAAACCGATACAACTTGAGAACCCGAGTCACACGAGCCTCAACACCTTTGCTCGGAGATACCGCACTCCAAGACTTCTCACGAAGGAACAAGGAACTTCCTTCATGTTTACAACAAGGGAACAACCTCCCTTAAAGTGTATGAAAAACACTTAAACACTCAGGAATAAAACTCTCACAAAGAGTAGATATGAGTGAACTAGTAAACGCTCAAGAACACGACAATTTCTTCAAGAATTGGCTCTCAAATAGCTAAGAAAAATTAGGAATAATTATGCAATGAAAGAGTATTGAAATTTTGAAGAATTGTGTGTAAAATGAGAGGATTTGGGTGCCATTTTATAGCCCAAAATAGGATAAACCCGTTGCTAAAATTTCCAACACGATGAAGACAAATTTTTCAGAGACACAAGGTGATAGTCGATTGTCAAAGCTTGATAATCGATTATCCAAAGATTCCCTGTCCAAAAATTTAAAATTCTATCTGTTGGAGGACAACGGTAACCCAGATAATCGATTGTCAACAAGTGATAATCGATTATTGGTTCTCTCAGACCGATTGACCAAGATACAAAAGTGGTTTTTATAAAATAATAATTTGGGAACATTTTAAAAATTCTCAGAGGTAAAAAAAGGGTTTAAAATATTGAAAACCACGGAGTTGGTTTGGGCGCCAAAAACCGAATGCCGAAAGCCGAACGCCGAAAGCCGAACGTCGAAAGCCGAACGTCGAAAGCCGAACGCCGACTTAGGTGGTTTCGGTTCTGAGCAAGCTCCAGGGATTTTAACAATAAAAGAAATAATCAAAAATGTTTGTTTTGATGCACAAAAAATATTTTATGATTTGTAAAAATTGTTTTGACTTTTTGAGAACCGAGACTTGAATTTATTGTCGGTTTTGATCACAAAAGACCGACTCGACTAAGTCTTCAATTCTTGATCTTGTCCTTGAGTCTTTTAGGTCTTGTTCCAAGCCATTCTTCACGCCTTGAGTTATTCAATGAAACTCTTTATATCCACGGCAGTTTGGCAATTATCAAAACCTGTCAGAAATGAACACGACTTTAGTTTATCGTACAAAGTGTGTTCCAACAATTTCCCCCTTTTTGATAATGGCATAGAAGACGGGGATATGCATAGGGTTTTGATCTTTTTGAAAAAAGAATTCCTCCTTAATAAAAAAAATTCCCCCTTAATATATGCATGGCCCTTATCTTCCCCCTTTTGACATTAACAAAAAGATTTTTGATAACAAAAACCATAAAGATTTTTATTAATTAAGGGAAATAGCGGAGTACATGACGGAAGCAAATTTAAAAAGCATAAAAAGAATAAAGAAGAGAAGGGAATAGAGCTAGAGCTCTAGAAGTCCGGTGAAAGATCATTGAGAAGTTGGTCTTCGTCAATGTCTTCTTCTTCATCATCTTCATCTTCATCATCATCTTCGGCTTCTTCTTCCTCTTCTTCTTCCTCTTCCTCATCGTCCACCTCTTCTTCTCTACCAACGTTTTGAGTCCCACTTTGTTCACCTCTGAAATTCGGTGGAGGAACGTAGGGGACCATTTGAGCGTACGGGTAATGGACAAAGTCAAAATACCCGTGAAGCTCACGGCTCAAGGTATTGACGTTGTGTGCCGTTTTGGAGACGTTGGTGTCAATCCGAGAGAGAGTGGCGGTCAAGGCTACCATTTGCTCGGCGAGAGAATGATTGGTCGAAGTGGTGGCGGTTGAGGCAGTGGCTCTCGGTTGGCGGCGTGGACGAGGCTGTCGAAACGGAGTCTCGTCAAGGCCCGAGTGGAAAGAGGATTCATCAATCTCCCAATGCTTTGCCCCCTTTATCTTTGGCCCAACATCGGTTTTGATGTTATACTCTTCAAGAATCGCCATGACAAGGAGGGCGTAGGGGAGCGGCCGATTGTCGGAGGTGGCGGTGAACATGTGAGTCATCACAAATTTACACCAATTGAGATTGGCGTTGTGAATCATTGCATGAATTGTCTTTGTGTCCTCCTAGGAGAGAGTGGTGTGATTGAACTTCCTAGGCTTGAGAATTCGCGTCAAAACATAAAAAATGAATCGAAACACGGGACTCATGGAAGCAATCGTAGGGCGCCGCTGTTGGGGAGTGGGGACGAAGTGTCGGATGCCCACTTTCTCCAAGAGGGCGGTCTCGTTGAACCGCGCTCCTTCTTCTCCGACATAGAGCCCGTGATTCTGTCCGTCCCGACGAAGCCCTGTGAGAATTTGAATGTTTTCCTCATTCAAATAGATGTCCACCCCGTTGACGTTAGAGATCAACGCTTCGTCCTCATCCTTTTTCAAGTTCGAGTAGAAAGCTCGAACAAGAAAGGGGTGATAATTGACCTTCTTGATGTAGAGGAGGTCGAGGAAGTTTCCACGTTCGAGGATAACCCGTGCCTCGCGTGGAATGGAGTCATGAATGAAGCGGGCGGTGGAGAATCGGGGAGGGAGAATTTCCCGGTGCTCAAACTTTTCCGAGAACTGCGTCGCCTCTTCGCGGTCGTTGAACCAAAGGAATGACCCGTCGAGATACTTGTGCGCCGGTGGTGGAGGAGCCGAGGAAGAAGCCACGTTCTTGCCTGTGCGGGATCTTTTTCTTTGACCTCCTGCCATTTCAAAAAAGTAGAGAGGGAGTAGAGAAAAATTGCAGAAAATTTGGCTAAGAGTTGAAGAACAATAGCAAGAATGATGAATTATGATGAATATATGGAGAAGAGATGATTGAAATGAGTAAATATTGAGTAGATATCACCAATTTATAGAGTAAAAGCTTTGGAGATTCGTAGAGGTGGTCAAACAGGCATTAATTGCTCTCCAAACGGCTAGAAAACGGTCAGATTTTTGAAAATCTACCGTTGTAAATCGATTTACATAACCTGTAAATCGATTATCTAGGTTTTCAGATTCTCCGCCGAAGGAACTGCAGGCTGCGATAGTCGATTTACACAAAACGTATAATCGATTGTCATGGTTTGCGCCTGATTTGCTTCAAACTTCTGCGGGCAATGATAGTCGATTATCCTAATGTTGATAATCGATTACTGGCTCCTTCAGTTTCTGCTCCAAATTTCAGCGGGCTATGATAGTCGATTATCACAAGCTTGTAAATCGATTTCCACCAAGTCTGGAGACAAAACATTGATTTTCTTTGTTCCCCCTGACTTTGACACCTGAAAATAAAATTAAAAAAGAGCCCTGCAAAAAAGAATTAAAAACGTCTCCGACGTTCAAGTTAGTAAGGACCAAAAATAATAATTAATGCACAACTTAGATCATCGTGGAGTCAAGGATTCCGAGTTCACTACGAATGCGGAAGAACACCTCTTTCTCTAAAGGTTTTGTGAAAATGTCGGCTAATTGGTTGTGTGTTTCAACGAACTCAATTTCGACATCACCTTTGAGAACATGATCTCTAATGAAATGATGCCTAATGTCAATATGTTTCGTCCTTGAGTGAAGAACCGGATTCTTCGTCAAGCTTATGGCACTAGTATTATCACATCGAAGAGGGACGTGATCGATACTAAGGCCATAATCCACAAGTTGTTGCTTCATCCAAAGGATTTGAGCACAACAACTACCGGCG